GTCCTATTAGAGCATTAGGACTATGAAACCATTGTGTGGTCCTTCTATGCCCGGCTGGTGGAAGGCTCTGTTTTCATTACTGCAACTTTCCTTAGACACAATTTGATTTTATTTTCAATAACTTCTCCCTTCTCTTCATTAACTATTTGTTTTGCATTTATTTTATGTGGCTGGCTTTTTAATCTTGTCATACTTGTATTTAATAAAATGTTATACAATATTTTTTCCAGAACAATAACTAGGATAGCCAGCTGTGCAATGGATCAGTGATTTTATTGTGTTGGGTTGATGAGTAATCCAATGCTCTGTACCTATGAGTCAGTAAAAGTGAAATAAAAATTTTCTGGAAGAACATAAAGATATGGATACGTATAAATATTATTATATAAAATATATAACACTTAAAAAGTTAAGGAAATGCATTTTGAGTGGTCTACCATAGGTCCAGCCCTATGCTAAGAATTGCCACAATTAAAAAGCTGCAGATAACAGCCCTTGGGAACATACATATATTGGCAGGTCTTACCAACAACCATATTTATTGGGTTCCATATATTAGATGCCAGTCACATTCCAGGTGCATTCTCTACCTCTTCTATAATCCTCACCTCTAGAGACACTGATAGGGCAGGTTTCCTATTAAACTGATGAGCAAATGTTTCTGATGTGCAGTGAGGGTTGAGGATTTCTCACCTAGAACAAAAGGAAAAGGTGCAACTGCGTGCAGATCGCATCTAACATGCCAAGGCGAAGAGCCAGGTGAGGCCCTGGCATCTGTCCCTGACGGCCTGCCTGGGGCCGAGGGGTGTGATGTCAGCCGTCTGAACCACCTGCAGCACGGGAACCACAGATGGGGACATGCAATTCTAGGGGAGAACTTGTAGAGGGTATAAGGATTTTGACAGAACTTGAAAAACCAAACACTTCACCTGAAAAGGAGTGGTATTAAAGACGCATAATAGTCTTAGCCTCGACAGATGAAGCCCAGGAAGAAGCCGCCAGCAGGAGCAGATGAACCAGGAAACGTGTGAGATGTTGTCTCTCTCTGAAGCTCTCGGCCTCACTCCTCCCTCTAGCCTCTCCAGCTTTAGAGTTCATTCCTTTCTGCAATATGTCTTATGTTAGATGGCAGCTGTTTAACTGCGACAAACTTTGATTTCACCTGTGTCTTGTTTTCACTGGGCCTCCAGAAGGAGGGACAGTGTCCAGTGCATAGTAGGTGCTCGAAGCTTTGAGTGAATAAGTTGAATGTCTCACTGTCATGGTTCCAAAGAAATAGATCATTCCCACTGTCACCGAAACTATTTAAAGCTCCAAACTGTGTGGCACAGGGCCTCTGTGAGATGTCAGTAAATATGTAATACAGTGACTAGCACGCTTTCTCCATTGTGATGAAGTTATCCATATTTTTTGGTTTATGAAGGCTTGGACTATAAATCATTGTGCTCTGAAATGAGAGCTCCATAAATAAATTGGTTCCAGTGGGTTAGTCATGCAACGTATGGTATATCTTCCAGTCCAAACCATAATTCTAATGAGCAGTCCCAGTGATGAATGGAGCTATCTGGTAACTTTGTCCTCAACGTGATGAGTGTGTGTGTGTGG